GTTGTGTAGATAAAATTGGTTAATGATGTCATTCTATTCTTTATATCCTTACTAATTTTTTTTAGTATACTTGTGTCAATTACTGAAGGCAGAAAATTGAAGTCTCTCAATGTAATTGTGGATTTGCCCCATTTTTCATTTTGTTTCTGTCCATTGTTGTTTCATGTATTTTGACGTGCTGTTATTGATTTCATACATATCTAGAATTATTATGTCTTTTTGATGAATTGACCCCTTTATAATCATAAATATAATCATAAAATGTCCCACACTAGCTTGGGCGATATTCCTTGTTCTGAAGTCTTCTTTGTCTGGTGTTAATATAGCTAATCAGCTTTCTTATGATTAGTGCTTTTGTGGTCCAGATTTTTCCATCCTTTTATTTGTGTCTTCATATTTAAAGTGGATTTCTTATATAAATTTACATTTAATGTAATTACCAACTTGTTTGTATTTAAATGTAACATATTACTATTTGCTTTCTGTTTTCCCCACACGTTCTTTGTTCATTTGTTCTTCCTTTCCTGACTTTTTTGATATTATTAGACTATTTTATTAGCATTCCATTTAATCTCCTCTCTTGGCTTATTAGCTCTACCTCTTTGGGTTTTTTTTTAATGTTTATTTTATTTTTGAGAGAGAGAGAGAGAGAGTGTGTGTGTGTGTGTGTGTGTGAGAGAGAGAGAGAGAGAGAGAGAGAGAGAGAGAGAGAAAGCATGAGTAGGGGATGGTCAGAGAGAGAGAGACACACACGGGATCCGAAGCAGGCTCCAGGCTCTGAGCTGGTGGCACAGAGCCTGATGCGGGGCTCGAACTCACAAACAGCGAGATCATACTGAGCTGAAATTGGCACTTAACTGACTGAGCCACCCAGGTGCCCCTATTTGTCTATCTTCAAATGATATTATACCCCGTTAATACACCCTAAGAACCTCACAACAATATTCTTCCATTTTCCTTCCTATCCTTCATGGTATCATTTTCATACATTTTCCTTCTGCATATGTTACTAGCACAACAACGCATAATTATTGCTGCTTCAAACAGTCACTTAGCTTTTAAAGAAATTTAAAAGAATGTGAAGAAATATTTAAATGTAAATATTTACCCACATAGTTAGCCTTCTCAGTTCTCTCGATTTCTGTGTATAGATCCACGTTTTCATCTGGTATCATTTTCTTCCTGCTTGAATAGATTTCTTTAACGTTTCTTGTAGTGCGTGTCTGATGGCAAGGAGTCATGGCAGATTTTGTTTGTCTGGAAAATTCTTCATTTCACTTTTGTTTCTGCAAGCTCTTGCCCCTGAGTATAAAATCCTCAGTTGACAGTTACTTTAGCACATTAGAGTTGTTGTGCAGTTGTTTTCTGGTTTGCATAGCTTCTGGTGAGAAGTTTGTTATCACTCCGAAGTATATTCATGTATCTCTCTCTCGTTCCTCTTTTACATTTCTGTGACCCCAATTATGTGTGTGTTAAATCACTTGACATTGTCTCACAGGTTGCCAGAAACTTTCTTTAAACGATGTCAGGCTTTGTCCTATCCCATTAGGCAGGAGAGTCTTGAGCAGCTCTAGGGGCTGTGGGACCCCAGTGTTCAGATGGGATCCTTCTTGCTGATTGCTTCTCTTCTACTGTAATATTAGCCTCTCAATAATCATGACAGCATCTTTATTATAATTATTTTATTAAATTTTTTTAATGTTTATTTATTTTTTTTGAGAGAGAGAGGGAGACAGAGCATGAGTGAGGGAGGGACAGAGAGAGGGAGACACAGAATCCGAAGCAGGCTCCAGGCTCTGAGGTGTCAGCACAGAGCCTGATGCAGGGCTCGAACTCACAAACCACAAGATCATGACCTGAGCCGAAGTCAGCAGCTTAACTGACTGAGCCACCCAGGTGCCCGTATTATCATTATTTTAGAGCCAGGAATTTTCCTGACTTTTCTTTCCCTTCAGTGTGTCTTACTGAAGTAACGTTAAGGTGTTAAGCAAGTTAAACATGTTTGCAATTGGTCACTTCCCCATCTGCCAACACATTTGTTTTACTGATATTTGGGTGTTTGTATGTGTTTGGATATAGATGTATTTCTAATAACATAAAAGTTATGGTAGTAATCAATATTAACACTAGAAATTTCAAAAATACAGAAAAAGGGAAAAAAAGGAAAAAATAGAAATTATCCATATCTCCCACTCGCAGATAGAGATAATTGCTGCAAACCACTTGATATGCATATTTCTTATACATCCTTCTATCATAACTGTTACTTTTTAAATTAAAAATTGGGAGTATGTTGGGCATCTATTGTGCAACCTACTCTTTTTGCATAATATATTATGGATGACTTTGCATTGATTAAGTATTCTATTTTATTTACTCAACAGAGTACTTACTATATTTCAGGCACTGTTATAAGCACTTTATAAATATTAACTCATTTACTCCTCATGACATCACTACTGGTAGATATTAACAACATCCCCCATTTCATAGAAGAGGACACTGAGGCATAGAGAGGTTTAGTAATTTGCCCAAGATCCTCTAGTTAACCTTGTAAATCATGGGGCCATATTCAAGCTCAAGCAATCCAAAATATCATTTTATTTCTGTTTTTATGTAATCTAGTTTCCGGTATGTTTTTACTAAGGATCCTGACACACCAGTAAGGCCCAGTTGAAGTAGTCTCCATTGCACCATGAATGGCTCATTCCCTCCACTGCCTACCATCCATTTCCTTTCCTCATAGTTCCCTAATTTCTTCTTAGGGACTTTTCTTCCACTGGGTTCATGCTTAGTTGATGATAAATCTGGATTCCTGCCCTCCTCCTTCTCACTGCCCTGGCAAACCTGAGGGCATATATATGACCTAAGCATGACTAATCGTAAGCTGTTCCCTAGGACTTCGATTTTTGGGTGTTTTAAATTCATTTGTTTCACTATAATGTCAGCTTCACATGGACAGGGATTCTTATTGGTTTTTTTCCTGGCTGTATTTCCAGTACTTAGGACAGTTCTTGGCATGACTTAGCACAGTGCTAGTCACAGAGTAGATGTAAATTGGAGCTATCACCACCACCATCATGATCATCATCATCATCTATCTCCCTCTACTGGAATGGAAACCTCATGAGAGTGGGGGTGTTGTCTGTTTTGCTTACTGCTGTATCCCTAGCATGTAGAACTACGCCTGGCACATGGTAAGTACTTGTAAATATGTATTTGATGAGTGAATGGATTCCAGTGGTGGTATATGCTTGGGTGAAGCTGCTGAGTGGTTCCAGACCCTCTGGAGCACCCTGGTTCTTGGCTCTTTCAAGTTTGGTTCTTTAGCTTTCTTCTGATCTCTTGAACTTTTCTACAGGCTTCCAGGACATTTCCATTTGTGTGTGTGTGTGTGTGTGTAAGTTATCCAGAATCTTTTTTGGTTGCTTACAATCAAAGACCTCTAGCTGAAAACCAACTTATAGGAATGTCTCTCTCTCAAATCTGGAGCATTATGTTGTCAATATCAGTGGAGAACCAAGGACACGTGGTCTGATATATGATCTTTGTGAGTTGTTAAAGTTGGTATTGCTATGATTACTGACTTGACTGTCACTATTTGCTGAAATATTGGCACTTGAAGGGCTAGAAGGACAATTAAAGGGTTTGTGGGGATACTATCCAGTAGGGTATTTAAAGTCAAGATAGTCCTGGGAAAAAGGGAGCCAGATGCTGACATTCTTTCTCATGTACCTGGCTGCTGTCTGTCTCTAGAGTGATTGCACATTTTTTAAAGGTAGTCGTTATCTTGTCTTGAGGGCAGAGATCCATGACTTATATTTTGGATGTGTAGTAGATAATAAAACTTAGCATCAGAAGACCTCAGCGTGAATCTATTCCTCCTACTTATTGGCTTGAGCAGTGTGAAGTCCATTCTTCAAGTAGCTCTGGTGATACAGCACCAGTGATATGAAGGAAAATGCCAAGTCCTTTCTGTGAGTGCCTCACACTTTTTTCATGATACCATTCCTGAAGAAGTCACAAAGTGTTTCACTTGCAGATCAACGTTAATTTAATAAGCACCACCCCTTTATTTTCTATGGTTGCTTAAATAGTTCAAAGGGGCCAACTACAGGCTCTTAGATGATTTGTAACTAGGCAAGGAGGCTGCTTCATCAAAGGCTCCTTAGTGGGAAAGTAGTTGCTAAAAATCCACAAAAAAAATTGATTCTTTCTTTCCATCTAGGTGTATACCCCAGCAGGATCTGTAAGTCCCTCTTCATCATTATTATTCAGCTTAATCTGAAGTTATTTACTAGCTCCCTTCCTTCGGATTACGGCCATCTGGGCTGTTAGCATTTCCTCCAAAAGATTAGTAATCAATTAGTGTGCAGAAAGGATTTATAAATATGTAAGGACTGTGTTTCCCTGGGCTAAGTGGGTGACATTATGTTCCTGTGCCTCATCTTTTTGTGCTTCTAGACACATCATCATTTCCCAAAATAAAGCAAGTAAGTGCAAACTCAGTGAGCAAATAAAATCTTTCTTTGGTGGTTTTCTAGGACTAGTGTAGGAGGCAAAACCAGATTTCCTGGTAGATGAGTTTGGGAGAATGCTGTCATAATGCCTTGAATAGAAGGCTTGAGGCCAAGTATGTAATCGAGCAAAACTCACTCTAACATTACTGTATTAGTAGGAACCCATAATCCCTTCTGTGGGAGTTTACAGTTGCAAGGCTATTAGCAGGCCGTAGTTCCTCTAATTGCAATGGGACATGCAAGACCACATCTTAGCCACTTTGGGGACAGTTATGCCAGGAACATTGCTGTCCACTCACCATCACATTGACCATCTTCTCGGACAATGCTGCCCGTCTTAGGAAGCAGCTGGCTTAGAAGTTGTTCTTGTGTGACTAGTTAGCTACCAACTTGATGACCTTGCTGCCAATCATTACAAACCCAAACATTTAGTTTGTGTCACCTCCAGCTCAAGGTTTCTTAGATTCTCTCTGGCAGAACACAGATGCTATTCCCTTTCACACTTTCAATGCAGAGACTGGGAGCTGGACATATTCAGACTGTATCACAGACCTGTGATTTTCCCAAGCACTTCTTTTCCACCCCAGGAACTCATCTGCTCCAGAGCTTGACATCTGGAGTGGAGATCTTTAGAAGAAGCAAGGTGGTGAATTACTGTGCACTCTTGTTTGAGCTTCATGGGATGGGAGGGATCTTTGGAGGAGCCCAGAGAAGGCTTGGGCTTGCACTCAGCAAAGTGGTAAGTAAAAGATTTGGTCTCTAACATTATCACACTTCCTCTTGTCTCTACCCTTCCGATTGTACAGATACCTGGTCTTCCATTTCATTCAGTAAGGAAAGGTACCACACTGGCTATAAAGCAGCAAAGTGAAGGAAGAGAGGAAACATGCGTGTGAAAATCTCAGGAAACTTGGAGTCATGTTTCTTTTGGTTGTAGGTGACAGAAAGAGGATGATGATTGAGTTTATGAGCCCTCTGAAGATCTGGAAACAATGAATTATGAAGTCAACTTGAAGAAGCTAGGGACAATTCATGTAGAAGAGGGAAGGCTCAGGTAGGGGTGATTAAGGTGGTGTGGGGGCATGAGAACCATCTTCATATGATGAACAAGAGGAACTAGATTTACGGGCTGCTGTGGAGGTGGAATTAATAGCAATGCAGGGGCAAGGGAAGGAGTATCACATAGTGGAAAGTTCATTGGTCTCAGAATCAGGAGACCTAGACTCTGGTACTGGTTTTGTCTCTATCTGAATCTCCTCCTCGTTAGGGGTGGTGAAGCCATGGTTTGGATTGGCTGGGCAATGACTCAGATAAGATTACTGGGATTGTAGGTTGGAGACAGTGGATCCAAAGGTATGGGCCAGGGTGAGGAGGCAAGTCTAAGTTCTTTACAGAGAGCTAGTGATGAAATCCAAGCCTCAGTTTGAAGGTCCAGAGGTAGGCAAGAGTCACGAGGATATTAGAGCAGGAGCAGGTCAGGAATAAGCTGGGGCAGGTGGGTTTTGGAGAATGGTAAAAACATGAGTAGGTGCTTTCTGCTTGCCTCTAGGTATGTGAGGAGCCTGGTGGGGTGCACCAGTTTAGAGGGCTAGTGCAAGTCATTATCTAGCCATGAGACTTGGGCTGACTGTCCTCCCATATCTGGGCCTCAGGTATCTCTGGTGTGAAGTAAGGGGGCTACAGTCATGTCCCCCTCTGGTTTTATGAGTTACAGGAAAGAAATCTTGGGTGTTCTATTAGAACAAGGTTTTCTGCCAATTAGAGCAGTCCACTTATGGATCTGGCAACCTTGGCAAGTAGAGGGAATTCCAGATCTATTAGCAAGATGAGGAGGCCCAAATTCTGTTCTTCCACCTCTTTAAGGTAATAGCTCTTCTAGAACGGGTGAGAACACGCCCTGCAGGTACTGTCTTTCAGTAGCATCTGCCCCTTCATGTTTGGCTGGCTTCTCCCAGTCAGTAGAGCTCTCACAGGAATCGGATGTTCTCTATTTTGCCACAGTAGAAAGCAATATAAACACTCTTCAGCTATTCACTGGTGTGAGTGTTTTTTGTTGTTGTTGTTTTTGTCTTCTTTTTGGAAAATCTCCATGGCTGCGCCATTTGGCTATCTGAAGCTTCTGCATGCATCGCAAACACCATCTGTTATAACCCGAGACACACATACTGCATGTAATTAGTAATATAAGCCAGCTTTGCAGCTGTACATGGCAGGGGAAATTGACACAAGCACAACTTCCTCTGTAGGACTGATATGGTGAATGGGGCATTTGTGGTTTGTCTGAGCTTTGGTGTTCATCAATTAAAGATTTCTTTTGGCTGCTGTGGAGATACTGCTTATTTGATTAGAAAACTTGCCTCGAAGAAAACGACTAGCTTCTTCTTAGAGCTGTTGAATACACATTGAGGAGGAAGTCCAACCTGGGGGCTATTTCAGGAGGCCTCACGAGAATTCCTCGGCCAGGGTAAGCATAGGTGTAGGTGCAGAAGGTGTGACTCTCTCTTTTCATCTCTGCCATTGACATCCTCCAGAGGGGTCCCACGAGGTCACTGAGCTGGCATACTCCTCTCCCCAGCTTACTGTAATGACCTCTCAGCCTTCCTGTTGCACCCTTACCTTTTGTGCACATGACTACTGAAGCCTCCCAAGAGGCAGGGGAGAGTCTAATGTACTACTATTTGGGACAAAACCTAAGCTCAGGAATGACCCAGCCAGTATCATAAGAGGCACCATTGAGGCAGGAACCCAGACTTTAGGCTCTTGCCCTCTGTCCCCTACCCCCATCTTTCCTTTACTCTCGCTCTGCTGCACCAGCCCTTTCAGCCCTTGGCTTGTGGGAGGTTCAAAGGGCATCCCAAGGAATAGGTTATGAGGGCTTTATAAAGCAGACAAAATCCCACAGGTGCCAGCCATGAGCGTGTGCCTTGGGGGTGGTGGAATAAACCTTCCCACAGATGGATGTCCATTAGTGAACTCTGGCTCCCGGCTGCCTCTCTAACATTAGAGAATTTTGCTCCTAGTTCTTGCTGAAACAGCTGTGCAGAGAGACAGCCATGGGCACTCCTTAAAGGCGCAGATGTGTGTTTCTTTGTTCCTGTACCCCAAGGGCCCAGCTCAAGGCCCAGCTGCCCATGTGACCAAGAGGGCACTGAGTATCAAACAGTCAATGGCGTAGAGGAGTGCCTACTCTGTGCCAGACCCTTTGCTAGCTGGGGGACTAAGGATACAACCAAGCAAGACTGAGACACAGTCCACCCCTCATGGAGTAAACAGTCTAGCTGAGGGGCTCAACTATAAATAAGTGAACAAAGACATGACTACAGGCCATGATGAGTTCTTGGAATGAAACGAATTTGCACAGCTATAGAGAGCCATGGAGCAGTTACTCAGTGCTGGGTGCTCTTGCCTCTTGGCATTGAAGTTGAGAATAAGGCACACGAAGGAGGGAACCATTCCAAAAACTGGGGAAAAATACTTCAGATAAAGGAACAGCATGGGTTATACCCCACTACTATGCTCAGAAATATTCCTGTTGGAGAGAGATGTGACAAGAGGGTAGAAAGATATGCCCTTGACTTTCAGGGGGAGGCTAGAATCCATGGTACCAAATGCTTAGTAGCCTTTGGGCATGGATGTTGTGGGCTTTCAGTAGTGCCTCACCACATGCTGCTTCATATGTACATTGCCCGGTGGTCAACGAGGTCTCAACTCAAATGACGCCAAGGTCATCCATATGGACAGCTGTATCCCATTAATAATCCAAACAGGATTGCATTTGGTGTTCCTCAAGGGCCCTCATAGCCCTAAGATCTTTAAGGACTTCAAGTGTCCCTTGAGCTCACTTGGTTCTGCTGCCCTTGATAATATCTCCACACTGATTCATGGTAGAGCAAAAGTCATCTGGCCAACAAATTTGGCAACGCATATCAATAACCACAGAATATCCAGGAATTTCACTTTTGGAAAATATATTCTGAGGAAAAGAATTCAAACTATTTACATGCACATTGCAGTGTTGTCCAAATGGGAAATTTGGAAGCTATGCAGTGGCTAACAATAAAAGATTGGATAATTTAAAAATGCTAGTAAAAATAACATCAGCTAACGTGTACTAAGGAGTTACCACTGGCACTGTGCTAAGTGTTTTATAGAATTAACTCGTTATGCCTCAGAACAACCCTGGTGATGGGAACCAGGCTATTGTCGTTCCTGATTTGTAGAGGAGAGCACTGAGGCTCACAGGTTGAGTCACTTGTGCAAAAGCAAGGAGCCAGTGAGCAGTCAAGTTGCAATTTGAACCCAGCTCCATCTGATCCCAAAGCCCAGGCCTTTTAATAAAGTTTATTTATTTTTGAAAAAGAGAGAGAGAGCAAGTGAGCGAGAGCCCATGTGTATGTGCACGAGTAGGGGAGGGGCAGAGAGAATCCCAAGCAGGTTCCTTACTGTCAGGCAGTGAGGGGCTCGAACCCACCAACCATGAGGCCAAGTTGGACGCTTAACCGACTGAGCCACCCAGGCACCCCCCCTCCAAATCTCAGGCTTTTAAGTACCATATATGGTGAACTTTCTGTCTGAAGATGCTCATAATTATATGTGAGAAAGGTGAGATATGAAAATGTAGATATGATTTGATTACAACCATGTAAAACAAGCAGCACTGATTTATAACCAAACAGGCGGAAGGAAATATATCAGTGTTAACACTGGTCATTTCAGGATGGAAACTCAACTGTCTTTTTCCACTTCTCTGTCTTTTCCAGATTTTTCTATAATGAGTACTTATTACTCATATAATAGCAATTCTGCTAATGAACTTATCATCGAACATGGGAACTGCAAAGGAAACCTCCTTCATCTTTTCCCACCAAAGCAGCCTCTATTCCATTTTATTTGCCTTTGGCCCACAGACCATAAACCTCATCTGTGTATAGTGGATGTGGACCTGAAAGAAAAATGAAGGACGTGCTACAGGTGTTGGCCTTCAAGTTCTTGCAAGAGGAAGTGACACATAGTCAGATGGGGGAGGTATCAGTGTTCCCTTTGCTTTGCTTCCTCCTCTTTTCTCCAACTGAAGAGTTGAGAGCTTAGTTTAATCCACATCATTTACATTGGGCAGATTAAGTCATGTGACCCTAGACCTTGCTGGAAAAGAAAGTTTCCTTTGATTAGTGGCAGAAAACCCTCAGTCCTTCACCTGTGCAAGATTTATGGAACGAAAATGAAAGTCAGGTGGGCAGTTTCTTCGGCTCCTTTGATGGCTCTTGTGTAAACACCTAATACCCATTTCAGAGCTCTTACCACTCACTTTCTAGGTCTCAATGGTCTCTTTGGATCCCTGTGAATCCGAAATGAGCAGGCACGTGGCTGGTCATGATTGGAGTGACCGTATTTACTTTGATTAAATGTTTGCCTTTCATATTGGGTTTCTTATTAAATTATAATCCAGAAACTGCTATACGGTATCCCTATTTATAAGTTTTCTAGTTGATTTTCAATGTTAGAACGTGCGTGCGCACATGCGTGCGCGCGTGTGTTTACCTATATGTTAGTGAAGAGGACTCTTTCTGTTTAGGAAGTAACATCATTCTATTGTCTCATTTGAGACTTCTTCCCATTGCAAATGGTATTTTCAGCCAGATTGACAAATTACTTAAGGTTCGAACAGTCGTAGTCCTGAAAATAGAAGGGCAATTTCTTGTCTGGAGCAAAAGGAAGGTGAGTTCAGGATATTGAGTCATCTAGGACCAGACTGTCAAGATATGACTTGGTGGAGTGCCCAGATTTTGGTATTTGAAAGCTTTTTGTTTGAAATACCATCTCACATGCAGAAGCTGTCTCTGTGAAATGGATCTTCTTGATGATTGCAGAAACAGCTTTTTCCTAATTATGAGATGCTGACAGGCTGTCTGTGGGGATGACAGAGTAGGCCTGCATCAGCCAGGACATTAGTGTCAGGGGAGGCAGGGGTGGCTTTGGGTCACTTGGATAATGAGTACTTTGCTCAAGGCTAATCGAGTGTCTCTAAGGCCAGGACTGGATTTAGAAGTTTCTGGTCATGCCCACAGCAAGTGCAGGGCAACTTGTGTTGAATACTTGCTGAATTCTTTTCTCGGAGCATGCGTCCCCAATTTTACCCGGTGCAGGCAAGAAGAGGGGGCTCTTCCTGTGTTCCCACAGCCCCTGACCTTGCTTTAGCCACGTCATGACCAGACTGGAAGGTCCCTATGAGATCACCTGCTGTAGCCCCTCTGTGCAGACACCAAAGCCGGAAAGGGGCTGGATTTGCCCAAGAAAGAACACACAGAGTCTGCAGGAGAGCTGAGATGGAGCCTCCTAAACTCGTTTCCATTCTAGATGTTTGCACTGCACCTAACATAAGAAATGTGTAAGGGGGAGCCTGGGTGGCTCAGTCGGTTAAGCGTCTGACTTCAGCTCAGGTCATGATCTCACCATTCTTGAGTTCGAGCCCTGCGTCGGGCTCTGTGCCCACAGCTCCGAGCCTGGAGCCTGCTTCAGATTCTGTGTCTCCCTCTCTCTCTGTCCCTCCCCTACTTGCGCTCTCTCTCTCTTTCTCTCTCTCTCTCTCTCAAAAATAAATAAACATTAAAAGAAAAGAAATGTGTAAGTGTGCATTGGGGGTGGTCAGCGGCTCCTGGAGTCTCTGGAGAGCTAGCACTTGTGCTCGGTGAGTTGTTTTCTTCCTGGGGCCCCTATACCATGACGACTGAGGAGGGTGAGCGGATGGGCTTCAAGAGCACGCTCCTTTCTCTCTCATCTTTTGTCCCAGGGGTGGGGTTTTGGGGTCCCTGTGAAGAGCAAAGGACTCGCTCCCCTTCCTGCCTTGCGCCATCTGCCCACCACCCCCGCCCCCAACAGCCCTGCGATGACGGCCCTCCTGCCTGTCCTGGACTTGCCTCACTCCACATCCTCAGGGCATGGTGGGGTAATAGATAAAGGTCGGTGCAGGATTTAAATTTCTCCTTTCAGGCTCTCCCTGTCTGGGCATTTTGGTGTTTTTGGTTTGGTTTGGTTTTTGATTATTTTTTGCGGGGGGGGATGGGTGTTTATTCAGGCACAGTGCTCTCGGCCCTGATTTTTGCCAGTAAATATTTTGGATATGAAGAATTTCAAGTGGTTGGTTGGTTGTGTGAGGACTGAACATGCAAAGCAATCGGTGACGCCTGAGTCATGATTGACATATTTTTCCCTTTACTAATTTTAAACTCACGTTTTCAGATTGACAGTGTTAATATTCTTCTGTCTGCTCCCTTCTTCCCTTGTATGAATTGGCTGTGAGGCTGTGTGACGTCTTGTCTGGGCTGGGGATTAGGGGACCCAGGTTTTTATCTCGAATGTTTTCCTTATGTTTACGGACCGCAGCGGCTTCTGGAGGAAGCAAGTATGAGCTGCAGAATGATTGAGAGAGTAAAACAGAAACCCAAATGGTTGTCACCTGATTAAAAATAATCTTCCTTTCAAGTGAAGATTCTGTCATCAGAGGGCCTAGCTGTGAGGGCAGATTCGCAGTACCAAGGGGGATGATTTCACAGTTCTGGAAGGATCCAGAGCAGATTGTTCAGGCCACAAATACTTCCAGGTATCTCATGCGCGGCTAGGTGTCATTCCAGGGATGGCACACAGAGAGGAACAAACATCCTTCGGTCCAATGCCATCTCTTGGCAGACAGACATCTTAGTTTCTCCAAAGAGAGGAGGGGATCTGCTTAAGGTCACACAGCAAGTCCATGGCAGGGTGAGGCTGGAATTCAGGACCCCCGGCATCCAGGCAGCTGCCGGTTGTGTCTTAATTCTGCTTCTCCTCCTGATTGCGCTGTAGCCACGGTTGCACAGATTCCCCCAAGTGACTTGAGCAAATGGCCCCAGCTGTCTGGTCTTCCATCCCAAAAAATCCAAGTTCCATGCCAGGCAGGTAGGTGGCTCTGGGTATCAGTCACCTGGAAGGTCTGCTCACGTGTGTGTATTTGAGTCTGGAGTTCCTCAAATGAGGAGGTTCATGTCTTGAAAGGAGAGAATAGAAAACGGCCCTGCCGGGATGAGGGTTACACAGCTCAGTGACAGTCAATGACACGCTTTTTCTGTGATCTCACTGACCCCAGCCCAGCTCAGCGGCCGGGTCCCTCGGAAGCACCTGGCATGCTCACCTCCAGAGTTCCCGGGGCCTCGCACAAGGAAACGCTCAGTATGTGTGGGCAGAGTTGGGCCGAGTTAGCAAGAGGGGCAATGCAGAGAGGAAGACAATGGTATCGATGAATGAAAAGAGCTGGGTAAGGACCTTCTGGACCGTGCACTTCTGCCCCGTTGGCAGGTGGCTTCTGTGGCCTGGCTCCAGAAAGCTGTCGCTTGTGTCCCCCCGCCGCCCCACCTTTGCCGAGTTGTCCCGAGAAGAGATCTGCCCTGTCACATCAGGCAGTGAGCTGAAAGCTGCGGGGATTATGAAGCCTGCCACATTAGCACATCTTTCTCTTTGCAGAGATGAGAGTGCCAGTCACTGTGATGGGCAGCAAGACACTGTTCATTGTTAATTAATTATTAGTTGTCAACTCCGAGACTTTGTGGAACTGAGAAGATTCAGGCGGGTTGTAGAATTCCTCCTTTAAAGGCACCACAACAACATTGTTTAGAGGAAACGGAACACCCTTAATTATCAAAGTCTGCTGAGAGCCTGTCATGCTCGCCTCTGCTGGAGGCACGGGCTTGCTGAGCATTCACATTGTGGTGCCCTTACCTTCTGGCTTGCTCCTTGCACATTTCTGAAACATTTGAAAGCTTATATGTGTTTTCTGAATAAAAAAGACCTGCGGAGGGGTGACTTGGACCTACTGTCTACTTCCAGTTTGGAAGGGTGACCTCTAGAAGTCAGAAAACAGCTTTATCGAGAAGGTGTCAGTCCTCACCTGCACACGTACTGGCTAAGGAAACTCTGACTATTACAGGGACACTCTTGTGAGCCTGGACACTCACAGCTTCCACCGATGTACCTGTTTTGTCGAGGTGACGTTTCCTAAGTCTCTAAGGAGGTCACATGGAGAGCAACTTCCTGGTTATTCACTGATTTCAAAACTCGTGTAAACAGGCTTTGGTGACAAGATGTGTAGCGTCTCAGTGGAATTTAGTGTTGGGTGGAGGTCTTCATACAGCCCCACAGTCCCTCTGGCCTATTGTCTGGGGCCATCTCAGCAACTTGTGGGTTAAAGAAGTAGGCTATTTAGGTGCTCGATTAGCAGCTCAAAGGGGGAGGTTATTTGGGACTTCACTCTTAGGCCCAGTTTCACGCGGAGCAAACATCAGAGACTTGCCGGAGGGAGATGGGAGGAAGCGTTGAATGGCCATAAATGTAGGGATGTGGAAGTGATGGCTTTTCTATTAGCTTCTTCCCTCTGTCATTGCCTAGGAAGGCTGGGAAAATCATGCTCATTTCTCGGCCCTGATGGCTTTTGGTGAATGATACCCCTGGCCGGTGGACCAGACAGAGTACGTATGCTACAAGTCTTCTTGCTTCTAAGGTAGAAGAACGCCAATTATAGCGTCTATCCTCTGGGAAATACAAAACTCTGGAGCCGTGCCATTCTACCAGTGTGGTCTGGGGATCACAGAATCAACATCCTCCAGGAGCTTGCCAGAAATGCAGAATCTCGGGCCCCATCCCAGATCCACTGAGTCAGGATCCACATTGTAACAAGATCCTCTAGCACCCTTCTTGGGAAGTCCTAATTTAGTGATTACAAGTATGGGCCTTTGGCCTTGGGCAAGCTTGGGTTCAAATTTGGGATCAACCACTTATTTAATGACGTGACTTTAAGTGCATGAATTAACTGCTCTAAGCCTCATCTGTGAAATTGAAATGGGGGTGGGTAATAACAGTCCCTGCCCAGTGAGACTGAGGTGATGTTTGCATGCTTAATTACCTGGAAAACACCGAGCACCGGGCCCGGTATAGTGTGAGCCCCGAAACAGGGCAGTGACATGGGGCCGGAGCTGTGGTTTAAGAAATATACACTGGGGTGAGGCAGGAGACTGGTCCTGTTCTCTCGGGATGTTTGCTCTTTAGAAATGGACGATGCTCTATGGAGCCTCTGGTTCCTCTAGTCCAGGAGGAGGTAGTAGACCTTCTCTTTCCGCCAAAAACACAGGAAAGGAAGTTTCAAAGCACCGGGCAAGGAAAATACCTCTTGACTCCTCCACTGGTGAGGCATGGGCTGCAGCGCTGAGGGAAGAGAAGTTCTACAAAAGGTAAGCAAGAGCCTGGATTGTTTCCCTGGGGCCGGACCCAACAAGACCCTGAACTTCTTGTTAAGCCGGAAGTTAGGGCCCTGGCTTCAGACCTGGCTGCTCTGAGATGACTCCTGACCTTGGAGGGACAAGATGCCACTTTGGCCTGGATCCTTTTAAGTCCTGGTGGTACTACCCTGGGGGCGCAGCCAGTCCACAGACGTGGGCTGCGGAGGGAGAAAGGCCCTGTCAACCCAAGGGCTCTGTGGTCAGTGGTGCCATCATGTCTGCTGAGCAAAGCTTACTGTTTTGATTGTACTGCCTTTTGTGACTTTTCCTGTCTCTTTCTTCCTACCTGCTTGACCTCATTCTCCCTGCTCATCCCTTACACCAGTCAGGAACCCTACTGGGAGGCATGACAACTGTAAACTGGGCCTGCGTGCGCCCCCCAGAAGCGGCTTTCTTTTGCGTTTTCTTGCCTTCCTTACCCTTCCTCGCCTTCCCTCCCTCTCTATTTTATATCAAATATTTGCTTGGCTTACAACTCATAAAATATCATTTCATTAAATCATGTTTTCGTTTAAGTAAGATGGCTGTCAGGCTGAAGCTATTTGATTGTATTAGGAGTCAGGAAAATATAAAGAAAAATCCATTTGGAGAATGGAATAACACAACACATTTTAGTTCAGTTTCCTTGGTTTTTCTTTTAATGGCATTATAGATCTCCAAGTATAATATTGTTCCTGACAATTCAGAACCAATTGCTTCGAAGGGGTTCTTGGGCCCCTTTGCCTGTGAGCTGACACCCCCTCCCTCTGGTAACGCCCTTGGGCTGTCTGATCTTGCTCTTTTCCAGCTGCCAAGTGTTCACAATCCAACAGTTGAAAAACTGATTCGATGCCCATTATGGACTGCCTTCCATGGGTTCTGGGAATCCTGAGATCATTGAGATGTGGTTCCTGCCTTCTGAGGACTCCTGACCTGTCTGCAGGGATGACAGGCCTGAGCAGCCCATTATACTACAATGTCTCCTACTCTCTGGTGGGGGTGTGAGGCAATCCTGCGGGAGCACAGAGGAGTTTCTCCTTCTACCCTGGCAGGAGCTAGTCCACCAAGTACAGCTGTGCAACACACATATTGCACAAAGATGCTAAATTTAGAAAGCATTCACACTGCAAGCATTTGAATGTAGATATTGATCAGGACAGTTTTCTAGCAGATAAAAGAACAAATCTTGAGGAAGGGGCACATTTTTCCAATTTCCACTAAGACACTGTCTGGGTTAGCAGGTGGCCCTGGGTGGGCATGTGGTTGGAAGGACTGTGGACAGGAGATGCATTTCATCTGGGCTGTGCTAGAGCCCAGAAGAGTTGAGCAGCCAGGCAGAGGGCATTCTAAGCACAGGGAGCATAAAGTGTGCCAGAGGTGGGAGATCACAATGCTGTACCTGGGGAATAAAGGAGGGCTGGGTGCGGCGCCTGCAGAGAGTGCACATGGTGGAGTGTGGCGGCTATGGCCTGGAAACATCATTGGGAGGTACATCATGAAGGGTCTGGGATAAAGTCCAAACTCTAGCAAAACATTCCAGACCCTTCATGATCTACCAGCAGTCAGGTTCCAAAAGAAAGTGATGTAAGGTAGAAGATAAATACATGAGCCTCGTTCTACACAGTGGAAGTAAAAATCTGCTGAAGGCAAGGGTTGGCAAAGGTCTACAGAGACCAGACAGAGCATGAGTGCAGGTAGTGAGTGAAGGGGGTTTTAGACAAGAGAGGGTGACCTGGAGAGCACAGGCCCCACAGAAATGTCGGCCTCACTCAGCTTCGGCTGAATGTTGTCAGGAAGGCCTGGAGGCCAGGTGTGACCAGGTCTCCCAAGTTTTCATGAGAAGCTGGAAACTTGCATATTGATGTACAAATCCCGTAAGTTCTAAGTGTTGGCAAGTAACTCAGAGTTTTTAAAACACCACCTGCCATACAAGGCAGGTCTGCGGACCAGGGTCGGCCAGCAATCTCTGAAAATGAGGGAAGGAGGAGAAAATTCTCAGAACCTCAGATGAGATGGTAATGAGAATTGAGTTCATCTTTGGGCTTCATCACAGGGAAGACAAACATGGACACCGATCCTGTTCCCGGTGACGGGAAAAGAAATGGAGGCCAAGTGTAGCAGGTGATATATGGTCTCTGTGGATATGGAAAAATGAGCTGACATTAAATAAAATGGCTGATGAGCAGGACTCATGCTGGTCCTTTCGTGGCAAAGTTCTTCCCATAAGAATATTTCCCTAATGACCCTTGGGTTGGTTGTGGCAGGACTGTCTACTAGCTGGAGCCTGAATCAGGGTCAAGTGTGTGCTGATGCTCCAGTGCACAGCTTTTCTGAGCCTTAGCCCTTACACGTGGCTGTGACGGGCTGACTGCTACGTCTAAGAGTGTCTGTAGTTCCTGGATTCTGACTACGTCTCTGATATGTCTACTCTGATATGTCTAATGCCTGTCTCACCTTCAGCCCCAGCTCGACAGGTCGTTCTTGGTCAAACACAGTCAGTACAACTCGAGTATCCTCGGCTGTAGCCAACGGGACCAGGATGGGCGCTCGTAAGGGTAGCTAACCCACAAAATGAACTACAGGCTTCAGTAGGATTGCCTGTCTCACGTGCCTTTCCTGAGCCTCTCTCCTTGCTCCCCTCAGTGCTGCTATGTTCCGATCTGGCCCTCTGGGCCTTTGTTGTTTGGTTCACGGGTGGAGACATTATCCCAAGCTGGAACAAACTCTCTTCTCTAGGATTTTTGAAATTGACCTCAAAAGAGTCAGGCCTGAAGCTACACCACCTTGTAAAGTTTTAACCACACACACACACACACACACACACACACACAGAATTCTTGAGTGAAAGTGCACATGCTCATGGGTAAACTAGCTGATGGTATTTGAACCCCTCCTTCCTGTTGTTTCTGAGGACTCTTGCCTTTTACAGGCCTTGGATTTTTTATCTAAAACGTGGGTTTTTGGGCTGAGGCCTAGGCTAGATTGAGTTTGGGTTCTGTCACTTGTAACCACAAGATTCCTAAGTAACGGAGACGGGTGAGGATCTATTCTGTGGCTTGTGGAAAATGCCAGAAGAGTGAAGCAGGGAACTGAATAGCTGCAACTGAAAGGATACCAGCGCTCCCCAGGGAAACCTTTTCTCACTCCTTCAGCGAAGGCATTAGGTGGACAGGCACTATGTGTTGTAGGAACTCAGACTCCAGGAAATGCTAGGTTTCTGCACGTCAAAATGATAAGCTGTATTTCCTATGGTGCCTCTCGCTAGTTTCCTCAGAAAGGGCGACGCATCATGATGTGCGAGGCCCAGCTCTGCCCCTTCCTGGTCATCTGACCCCTGGGAAGCCACGCCCTCTTCGAGCTTTGGTTTCCTCATCTGTCCAGCGAACACCTCCCTCACGGGGGCATTCTGCAGCTGAAATGAGGGGGCACGCAGGACAGCAGCTAGTAGTGTGCCCTCAGCTCTCTAGAAACTCAGCGAATATTGATTTCCTTCCATCCATTATTTCCCTGATTGAATGCCATCAAGGAGCCTGTATTGACTCTTCTCAAAGAGCCCACGATGGGGCTGTTTATCTACAGAGGCATACTTCCAGATTTAATCCACTCAGCCATTTCCTCTGTTTCCACCATTTTCCCTGTGCTTCATCACAAAGAATTTCTGATCGTGCGTGCGTTCCTTTTCGACCTGGAAAAAAGCATGATGTGGGAGTTATTTTTATGTTGCAGTCTTGCCTCTCCTCGCCGGAGTGATCTTAGAAACATGACCTTAGTGGTGAGGACGTGGATTAAAAGCATGTGTCCTGTAAGGGGAGGGGCGGGGGACATAGGCATCCTCTGCTCTGGAGGCTGGGCTCCCTCCTCAAAGCGTCTGCACGAATGTTTCTCCATCCCAGAGATAAAGGCTACAAAAAGAAAAAACAAAAAGCCATCAGGCATTTTTGTTTTACCACGTTGCTGTAGTTTGATAGTAGTTTTATTACCTCAATGTGTTGAGATAGGAGAATTCCGAGAGGGCTGTGAAACACATTCTAGAGCTTCAGGGGCGGGAGAACGTTCTGAGCTGGCTGCTTGGTGTGTGTCTCAGGAGAGGGAGATTCATGTGCCAGGCTGCAGAGTGTGATAGAGGCACTTTGCCTCTGACAGTCCCGCTCTCTGAAGGGGACGCTACAGGAGGAGACAGGTGGAAAACATTGCAGGGGACCGACAGGGCTCTGCCTTGCTTCTAAGAAGGTGCTTCCAACTCCTTTTCTTGCTCTTAAAGCAACCTGTAAGCCAAGTAGGCCGCATAAAATGAGGGAAAAGGAAATGAAGTCCGTTAATCTCCCAAGCCGGACATTTATTATCCGAAAGCCAAGTGACAGCTTCGAATTGTGGCCTCAGTTCTGCAGAGAAAAAGGCTCATGCTTTGGGAATGGCAGGAGCCCTGGAGCTTCTCTCTGACTGGGGACATGCACTGGCCTCTTGAAAGAAGACTGGCCCTGGCCAAGTGTCATCTCCATGAGTACCAGCCCAAAGTTCCAGTTGCTGAAATAGCTATCGATCAAAGAATCATGATAAATGAGGGCATTGCTGTGTGTAAGATCAATGCTGTGGACCTCAGAATCCAGTCTCTCGTGAGACTTCCCAGGAGCACCAAGCACTGCCTCTGTGAGAGGCAATGCCAAGTACGGGGGAGACACTGGATATGGAGTCCAAGCCTATTAGCCACCTGTAAATCAGAGACAGTGAAAACTGCCTCCGTTCCTCAGCATAGCATGGCGGTTACATGTCCGGATTCTGGAGCTAGGTTAGCAGGGTTCAGATCCCACCTCTGCTGCTCACCAGCTATGTGACCTTGGGCAGGTTACTTAACGTCTCTGTGCCTTAGTGTTCTGTATAACAAGAGAATAACAATGGTATCTACCTCAAAGGATTGCGATGCACGTCAAATGAGTTAATGCCGGTAAAGGGTCTAGGACAGAGTCCTGGTAGGCACATTGTAAATGCCGTGTTTTTGGTCAATTAAATTATTTGTCAATTACATTCCTCCCTTAGCATCTTGTTTTGTTTTGTTTTTCACACCAAGTCTGTTCGCACCATATTGCAGCCGGAGACACAGGTTTAGAGGGATAAAAGGAGTTGTTCGAGATCATCTGCCTAATCAAGGTCAGCCTGAGTTCTGAAGCCCCGCCCTTTGACCCCCCCTCTGCTGTGCCCTTCCAGCTCCAGCCTGCCACCCTGTGGTCCTCCGTTACCCGGTGCCTGTGGGAAAAGTGCTCCTGAGCCAAGTCACTTGATTCAAATGTATGGGTCTATTCGGGCTATGTACTTACCGCCTGTGTGCCCTTTCAGAGGTTTGGGTTATTGGAGAAGACGACTCTATTTGGGTCGGAAGTTCCAAGAAAATGTTTCATTTTTTCTCCCCGCCAAAAGCGGCAGCAATAGACTCTAAGGCAGTACGGGGTGGATTTGGCACTGAGGGCTGTTTTACATTGTCATTACCGCACAGGGGATGTGGAGGCCCAGGGGGAAGAAGTGTGAAAAGCAGGTTGCTGAGTGAGGCCTGTATGCAAAGCCTTGTTGGCCAGGTGGCAATGACTGCATCGGTGGGAAGGCAGAGACACGAGGATTGACAGCGTGGCAAGCAGCAACATGCCGAAGGGGGAGAAGACGCGGGCAGGCGTCCAGTTTAGAGGACTCGCGGTGGGTCTCTGCATTTGAAGGGCTGAATAGGAGATCCAAGCCTGCCTGGGTCAACTGCCCCACGTACCCAGGGAGGCACCCAAGCCCCCAGGGGTGTGGCTCGTACAAGGACCCACAGCCATGCTTCCATGTTCCTCAGGCAACTTCCTCACGGCCAGTTGGCTTCCCAGGGACCCAGTGATGAGAGGGGCTAGGCGCCTCAGCAGTTTTCTTTCTCGTTGTAATCCAGTAAAGGGTCTCTTTGTTCCCCTCCCTAGGACCTTGGCAGCTCTCAGGGTGTGGGTGAGCTCTCCCATATCTAGTCAGCCCTGAGATAACGACCACATCAGCATACAAGCTTCGCAATGCAGACTGCCAGCTGGCAGGCTGGTCCCGGGGATGTGTCTCAGTGTTCTTCTGAGCTACATCTTTTCTTTTCAGATATCACCCCTCTGCCTTTCCTACTGTGTTTGAGGCCAGGTAATAACCCCAAGAGTGACGGATACTAACAATGGTTCTGTGCGGTTTCAGAAAGTTCCATCTCCTCCCTAGTCTGGGCAGAGGCCAGTTAGAAGGAACTCTAGTCCCAGAGCCCAGGTGGCTGGGCGACGATTGGGAAAGCAGCCTGGAAGTTGTTAGAAGGCAGCCTGTGGTTGAGGTTGGGCCTCCCTCCCCTCTGGCCTGCTGTGCAGTGTGGGTGCTTCGCGGGGACACGCGACTGGGCTTGCAAAAAGCCAGCAACTGGGCACAAAGGAGGTTTCAGGAAGGCCAAAATGTTGCATCCGGTGGCTATCTCTGCCTCCTTGGCCACTCTTCCCCAGAATCCCCATCACCCCTCTGCACAGGGGTTTGCACTTAGTAGGTACTCAAAGATGTTCTTGGAAGACAGAGCATGTAATAAGTGGGCTTGACCCCATTCTGTCTTACAGCTGGAAGGCCCGTGGAGGGGGGCCCAAACTGCTCCTTCTCCAGCAAGTGGATGCCCACGGAGGGAAGGGGCTTGCCCAGGCTCACAACTTCTTGGACATCAGAGGGTTACACACTTTTCAACTTGGCCGTATTGGCCTACCCCGGCATGTATACTTTCTAATAGATGGGGTCCACCACGGAGGAGAGAAGAACAAAATAAATTTTGCTCAGGCTTCGGCCTGTGCTTAGCGCTCTTATGTCTATTTTATTCACGGACAGAAGGAGCAGACT